CCAAAATTCACGCAAGAAGTAATTTTGATAGAAAACACAGGTTTATAATGAAAAATTGTAAATTTTTCATTGATTCATAAAGTATCCAATATAGGGTTATGTATGGAATAGAATATCGGGTAAATGGCCTCCACGGCTTTGCTGGCGCATACGCACTCTTTTGTTATTGCTTGAGCAGCCGCATTTTCGAAGAAGAATGGTCCGATGATGCCTCCAGCCCAAAATCCGCACCAAACGGTGACACGTTGTGGATGCATTTGTTTCTCAACAATCACTTGTAGATTTTCTGAACCGCAAATGTGACAATTTTGTTGATTAACCAAGCCATCAAGATGAAAATGAGCCTCATCGAAATTCAGCCACATTTATGCAAAACGGTCATGGCAAATTTCAATAAAAGAGTGCATATGTGCTAGCAAAGCCGTGGAGGCCATTTACCCGATATCTATTCCATACATAACCCTATACTGTATACTTTATGAATCAATAAAAAATTTACAATTTTTTATTATAAACCTGTGTTTTCTATCAAAATTACTTCTTGTGTGAATTTTGGGACACCCTTTATAGATATATATTAATAATAAAAAAGAGAAAAGTGAGCCTCACCCTGGCCAGGGAGCTCAGTTGGTTAGAGCATCATCCCAATACACCAAGGTTGCAGGTTGGATCCCCAGTCAGGGCAGATACAAGAACCAATCAATTATATATATACTAGAGGCCCGATGCACGAAATTCGTGCAAGGGGCTCCCTCGCAGCCCCGGCGGTGGCTTCCTCGGCCCTTGCAGCCCTGGCTTCGTCCAGAAGGTCATCTGGAAGGATGTCTAGAGGGTCGTTCAGCTGTCCGGTCTAATTAGCATATTACGCTTTTATTATTAGAGATCATCAATAAAATTATATATGTATATTTTTAATGTATTTTTATTGATTTCAGAGAGGAAGGGAGAGGGAGCGAGAAAAATGTCAGTGATGAGAGAGAATCATTGATTGGCTGCCTCCTGCACACCCCCTACTGTGGACAGAGCACGCAAGCTGGACATGTGCCCTGAACAGGAATCAAACTGTGACCTCCTGGTTCATTGGTCGACACTGAACCACTGAGCCACACTGGCTGGGCAATAAAAGTATACTTTTTTAAAAAAAAGGACCAATCAATGAATACATAAATAAGTGGAATAACAAATCCATGTTTCTCTCTTTAAAAATCAATCAATATATATATATATATTTTTAAGTGAGCCTCACTAGGGGAAAGGTTAATGGAGAAGGGGTCACCACTGGTCTGGCCGCATTAGGTAACTGAGCTACAGCATTCCTCTCCATCTCATTTCTCTTCTCTGTCCTCTGGCCAGATAGAAAGGAGGGGAGGTAGAGAGCACCTGCCCCCCTGGCTTCTTCCTCAGGCAGAAATGTCTTGGTGACCTGCTTGTTTTAGTCCTAGCTTGTGACCTTGAACTCTGCTCTAGGGGTTGTCTCCTTTTTTGCTAGTTGATGGAATTGCTGATTCTCCTACTATTAAGCTGCAGCAGGTTCTTGGAAAGGACTGGCCAGGTGCCGGAGTTATCTTTAGCTCGCCCACGCTGAAAATAAGATGGGGAAATCCAGCAGATGGAAGGAGCTCAGCAAAAGCTGGCCACGTCCTGACCTTTGTTCTCAGAACCATTTGGGCTCTTGCAGCTGGAGCAACACCCGCGTGAAGGACTCCTAGTGGACACCCTAATCCAAATCCTGTTTCATTCATGAGGAATTTGAGGCTTGAGACTGGACATAACTTTCCCAAGGACACGAAACGATGGAGTGGTGAAGCGAGGACCACGCACCAGGGCTCTGCCCAGCTGAGATGACAGCCCTTCCCCTTGGTGTAGTTCTTATCCAGCTTGGGCTTCGAGCCACCCTACCTTCCTTTCAAAGCTCAAGCAACAGCAAAAATGAATCGAGGAAAGTAATTGTCTTTTCCTCACCAAACCAAGGGTGTCCTGCCCATCTGACATCTGACCCTCCAATGTTCTCTGGTCTCCACTCCTGACCTAAACTTCATGCTGCATCCAGGCCTCCCATCCAGCTCTCCCTCAGACCACTCGAGACCCGGCAGGTACATTTGCAGACCCCACTCTCATGCTTCCTGCTCAAGGTGGGAGGGGACCAGGAGGCTGGTAAGAAATGGTGGGAAAAGATAGGACGCTTGCCAGAGAACCTACCTGCCTGAGGCCAGTGCAGCCCAGGCCGTGGGCATGGGAGCAACCTGTTCAACGTAAGCCGGCCCTAGCAGGCACACCATGCCGGGCTGAGCAAGCACCACACGGGTCCTCTGTACATGTTTACGAGGAGGCCTCAACCTCTAACCTTCCTCTTGGTCCTCCAGAGGAATAGCAGCCCTGACTGTTTACTGGGCCTTAGCAACCGCAGCCCGTGGACAGAGCCTGTGGAAAGTGGGGGAGAGGTCAATGGAAACAGACTAGCTCATGCCTGGAACTGCTCCGGAATCTGGGGAAGCTGCCGGGTCCCATGCCTCTGGCTTTGTTCGGCAAGGTCACCTGCCAGCAGAGGCAGGAAGCCAGACAGGGAAGAGTCCAAGAATGATCTGATTTTCTTGGTACTTTGTCTCTAAGGCGACACATCTGACCTCAGTGGTCACTCTAACCTTTGTCCCCCTTTCCCCTGTTTCAGGGGCAGAGGATGTGTGTGCATAGAGGTGTGTGTACAGGGGGTGGGGGGGATAGGGCAGGCCAGGATGTGTTCCTCCTCTACTGTCTTGTGTCTAGCATCTTCTTTGCTCCCATTCTTGAAGTTCCCAGGCTGGCATTGGTGAGGTATAGGGCACTGGCTATAACGCCAACAAAGACACAGATATGGCCGGCCAGATTTGGAATTGGGGG